ATTGTTCACCGAATTCTAGATTATTATAGCTGGGGACACTACTTAAAACTTGATACCAGTATACTGAAGACCGTAAAAAAAGGCTTTAAATACCTAGTTATGTTCTTGTGGAACACGGTATCCTGAGAAATTATATAGGCTGCAAATGCAATATGGAATAAATAAAGAGTTAAAGAGAAAAAAAGGCTATTATACATAAAGAGAAAGCATTAAGAGAGAAGCTAATCATGCGGATTACAAAGGAATGGCTAGTCTTATATAAAACATGCTGTTTTCTGAGTAGAACTAAAAATAGCTTTCCTCAAATGTAATAAAGTCCTTTCTGGCTCCTGGAAAAGGTAGTTTCTATGTGTTCTATAGAGCAAGAAATCCAATATAGCATCTAAAACCATTTATTGCAATAAAATATCAAATTTTACATTTGTAGACCAGAAAAAACATTTACCATGTCTTATCAATATTTTATTAAATCATTACTAATGGTTTGGGGAGGAACTCCTTTTGAAGAATGATACAGCAAGACCTGATAATGATGAAATATTGACTGGATATCATAACAGCTAGAGTACTCTTTAAATATGTCTACAAGGGAACACAGCAGTTTGGGCCTGGTTTTCCATAACCAAAAAAAAAAAAAAAAAACCAACTTTCAAGTAGTAGTTATTCACATAGAAACATCCTGCAATGAAAGTCAAAAACTCAGAAATTGCTATGCCAAGATCTCAGGCTGACTGTAGGCTGAGTAATACACCGCTGTATTGAAGATGTGAAGGCTACAGTATAGGCTCTGCCCACATGCTGGCTGACAGACTGGGAGATGAGGGCCTGTCAGCTCTTCTCCCTCTCACTAGGCATGAAGATATACTCTAAAGAGTATACTCGTTTTTGTTCGTCCCAAACTTCACAACTCTCATGATCATCCCATAGAAAGCAAAGTTCCCATTCTTTCAGAGGAGTCAAAGAGGCATGGTGCTGAGTGGAACCAGAGACCCCCCACAAGATCAGTCCTATCAGTGCTCCCCACCCTACTGGGCTCATGGTAAGATGATACATCTCTCCTTTCTCAATTCAGTAGGTGACTGCCTTTTGTAGATTTCTTCCTGGCACAGGTTTTTATTCCGAGAGACAAAGGGAATGCTGGCTGACCATGAACTAACATATTTCCACAAAGTTTCATTTACAGTGTTGTGATCCAGCTGTCTCATTTTCCTTTCTCACAAGCCACTTTCTGAAGATGGCTTAGAAAAAAAAAGCATCGCATCCCCCAGGTGGCTTTAGGTGTCACTTGAAATGAGAGTCTAATGGCACGGCCCCAAGTTAGGTCAAGGCTATGCATTTAAGATGAAGTCTCTTTCCTATTTTCTTTAAATGTAATCTGTTTTGGAGAAACAGCCCAAGAAACATCATCTTGAAACATACTCATCTGATTTCATTTCCACAGTGCCACCTTCAGCCTCATCCATACTGTCATATTGCCTGAACATGTACTATTTCGTTTTTCCTAAGCATTACACACACATTCATCAGAAAAAAGTTGTATCAATTTTGTAATTTGCAAGAAGAATATGCAACTGCCATAAAATAAAAATCATCTCCCTCAGGGCATAGCCTCTATTGTTCAGAGCAGAAGAGTGATGCAATTTTTATATCTGTCATTTTTTATTAAGAAATAGTCTAGAGATGATGTTAAAAGTAAAATATTGCAGAGGGAATATTTAATTGGGAATATCAAAAGGACACAAGGTTTCCTTTGTTCATATCTACTGTTTATTTAAGGGCTCTTGGAAGATTAGATGGGGTTGTGATGCTTTTTTTTTTTTTTCTGAACCATCTTCAGAAACTGACTTGTGGGAAAGAAAAATGAGACAGCTGGATCACAACATTGTAAATGAAACTTTGTGGAAATGTGTTAGTTCATGGTCAGCCAGCATTCCCTTTGTCTCTGAGAATAAAAATCACTATCAGGAAGATAGCTGAAGTTCACAGTAGGCTCTCTGACTGAAAGAAAGTAATCCTTGGGATATGAAAGTACTCAGAATTTTTATACTATGGGTATACCTTTGTTTTTACAAGTTGTCTGATAACCAGTTGTGGGTTCTGCTACTTAACTTGTATGCTACAGTCTGTGCCTCCAGCCCACGCCCAAAAAATGACACAGATATAGGTAGCGAAGGTAGGTTTAGAAAAGTCAGTCAATTCCAGCTGAATCTATGACCTGCACCTGTCAAATCTGTGGGACTAGCAGAGACTTAAAATTTCATCTAGTCTTTCCAGGCATTTGGCAAGAACTGTCTACTCGTAGTTTACTTGGGATGGTCTTTTATAGTCTAAGGATGATTATGGAAATGTTATCACATTTTAATTCAGCGCCTCCTGGAAAGGTAGGAAAGGTGAGTATCATACAAATGAAAAAACTGAATATCTAGACTAAATTGTGAGCTTTCCCTAAGTAAGTGTCAGACAGGATCCAATTACCCAAGCCCCACAATTTTTCTCTTCCTACTACAGTTGAGAAAACCAAGAACACAATCAAGCTTGGATTCTAGTCACTTTTCTGTCACTGTCTAGCTGTATTCTGAGTAATTACAACATATTGCAGTCTACAAATTGGGAATAATTCCTGCTCTTTCTGCCGTACAATGAACACACAAAATGCTGATCCCCTACCTTCTTTACCTATGCTAAAAAAAAAAGAGGATATAAAATCCTTACTACAAAAATGACAGGAAGATTGAAACCAGATGGTATAAGGAGTGAGGATGGCAGATGAGAAGAGATGCCATTGTTTTAATAAGTAGTCTGGTGCCAGTTGTGAGCTCTTCCACTGAATTGCTGATTCTCCAGTGACACTGTCTGTGCCTCTAGTCCACTCCCAGAAAAATGATACAGATCTAAGTAGTGAAGGTAGCTTCAGAAAAATAGTCCATTTTTGGCTTATCATCTAATCAGATGTTTCTGTGGGAAATCAGCTAGCATCTTTGCTTCTCAGTTTCCTCAGCTAGACTTAGGAAGTCTTACCAGAACATCCTGAATATTTCTTCTGATCTAGTCCATGAGGTTTCTCTCCTAGTTTTCTTTCTTATACATCATGCTGCCTCTGAGACTGTTATTTCCCTAAAGATGAATAGCTAAAACATTTAATGTGTTGTAAAAAAAAAAGCAAGGTATTGCCAAATCAGTGTAACACATTTACAGTCCCACTGTGATTCTCTCTCTCTTCTTTTTAAAGACTGTTAGGAGCCTGAAGCAGCCTAATGGAAAAAAATCACCAGGTAAAGCATAATGAGGAGTAGTAGTCAAATTATTTTAGGAACTGCTGAGACACTGTTGGTGGTCTACTCAGAGGGACTCATCAAGATCATTAGTTTGTGCATCTCCCAACAGAGACAACCCTCTCTGAAGGTGTCCCTCCATCCCAGGGGTCATTAGTGCTGCTCACCTCTTGCCTAACAGCCAATGTCAGTTCTCAAAGAATCAGTCATTTAATTGGATTTGAAGAACAGAAAGGAAAAGTAAATTTTCAAGGTAAAATTCAGGGCAGAATTTAGGAAATGGAAGACCAGGATAGAGTAGCAGATTTCACAAAGTCTGATCCAAGATTTAGGCATTTCAAGCAAAATGCTACAAATGTCATAAAAAGCTAGGAAGAGCATCTCTTCTGAACTTGAAGAGTCATCTACCCAAAGGGATTCTCCTCCTTCAGGCTCTTTCCCTCACTCTTACGTGGACTGAGTGAGCTGAAGACCCAGGCAGAAACCAGCTGTGACTTCTCTAGAGGTTGAGGAGAGAAGCCTGGGACACACTGCACCCACATCTGGAGCCTAGAGAATCAGACTCTGCCCCAGTCACTACTTGCCTATCATAGTCCACTTTGCTTCTATGGTTCCCCCCAGGGCCACATTAGGAAGATGATCATGTTGAAGAATGTTTCTGTGTCCCTGGTGGAGAGGATATTATTTCTTCTTCACATTTATTAACACACACACACACACACACACACTCTCTCTCTAAACTCATTTTGGCCCAGTTCTTACAATTCACAAAGTGCTTCCATATCTGCTATCTTTTTTTAATATATTTTTTAAATAACATTGGTTTACAGCACTGTTTGTATATTAGAAGCACAGGATCTGCCCCCTCAGATGTTGTTATCACATGGCACCCACCACCAAGACATCCATAGTCCACCTCTGTTATCTTGAACCTTGCCTAACAGGTGAGGAGACACAGCAGGTGCCATACCAGTTTACCAATGCGACCGGTGACGTTCAGAAAATGTAGGCAATCTGTCCATCCTCCCAAAAATAAAGGGAAATGCAGGCCTCACTGTAAGTCTCTTAATAGCAAACCTAGTACTCTTGCTACCATTCAGTAGGAATTTAATCTTTGTTTTTCTAAATTAATCTAAAGATTTTTATTCAATGCCTTAAAAAATATGCAGGGAAATCTAAAAAAAATGAAATACATAAAAACAGTCCCTGAACTCAAGGAGGTAAATTTTATAAACAAATGAACAAATTATAAATGCTTAAGAAAAAGCAGTGATTCTCCAAAGTGTGTTAGAGGGAGACACTGGTCAGGAATTGTGCTGGTGGGCTGGAGAACTCATGTAATTAATTTTCTGGAGGAAGGTTTGGAGTTAACTTTTGGGTCTTTTTCTCAAAGCATCCACTTGGAGCATCTGTTGAAACAGGAGCAGATGGAGCACATCAGAAATGTATTTTCCTCTTTATTTCATCTCTAGTTCCTTGGAGAAACCTGGCAGCTAGGGTGCTGCGGAGATGAAATAAAAGTTCATTTTTATATCATCATTTGTATTGTAATGACATAAACAGCACTTGTTCCTGGGGAACATATTGCCCTCCCTGGTGAGTTTTATAATTAAGTCTTACTGAAGGAAACAAAAAAACAAAAAACCCTAGAAATGAGATCTAAGTGTGTTCTTTTCTGAATTATGTACTCACTTGTTTTGCTTTTTTTGCTTTGTTTTTGTTTTGCAGTGTCAATGGACACCTGATCTCCTGCTGCCTGTGATTGAAAACCAAGAGGCTTTGTTGTGCTGATTAACTGCCTACAATTTTTGCTGACACTGCCATGAACACAAAATGCTGATTCTATTCTTTTTAACCTCTGTGTGAAACTCTGACTTTTAATATACTTGTATGTTCATTGACCCTCCATAAAGATGTCTGAACTTGACTCTTCATCTGTATTTTCAGGAAATGTGGAGAATGGAACTTTCCTTGAGCTATTTCCCACATCCCTGTCCACATCAGTAGACCCATCCTCAGGTCACCTGTCAAATGTCTATATCTATGTGTCCATATTCCTCAGCCTTTTAGCGTTTCTGCTTCTGCTTTTAATCATTGCCCTCCAGAGGCTTAAAAATATCATCTCCTCCAGTTCCTCCTACCCAGAGTATCCAAGCGACGCTGGGAGTTCTTTCACCAATTTGGAAGTCTGTAGTATTTCCTCTCAGAGGTCCACTTTTTCAAACCTTTCATCATGAAGAAAATGGAAGATTCCTTAAATGCTGCAGCAGCTTCAGTTTTCCCTTCCGGGAATTATTGCATCTGAGCTGTTATCTCATGAAAGAAATGCCACCTTTGCTTTTTTCAATCAATTAGATCTGTTGCTCCTCCTTCACTTCTGATTTCTTTCTCTGTTCATGATGCTGTTCATTTGGGACTAGAGAAGCTGATTAGCAGAAATGCATGTAAATCTTGAGGTGCAATTTCACACAAACCACTTGACAAGTCTGGAGCTGGCTTCTTCAAGGTGGATCAGTTCCTTCTACCCTGCTGGACACCTGAGGCAGAGCTCACCTGGGGTAGCCTCACAGTGGGTGCTGGGGCTTGCACTTGCTTTCACTTCTAAAACCGTGAAGCCAACTGAACCAGCAGACTGACAAGATGTAATCTAAACTGTTTAGAAGGCATTTTCCATATTAAAAAGATAAAGTGGAATCATCAAATTTTAAAAAGTCACTTTAGATTTAATGTATAACATTTCTAAAACTGGAGTCAAAAATATGTTAAATGTTTTATTTAATTTCACTTTAACAAATGAAAATTACACATATTCATAAATCAAATCACACTTGGAAAAGTTTTGGAAGTTTACCTTTTAATAGCAAGACAAATATTTGTTGCCATGCAATTTGTAATTTATTTCTGCTTCCTGGATTTTTTTCTTATTATTTATAGTATAGCCATAACACCTTACACTTGTGGGAATCTTTGTGATAATCTGTTACTATTACTTAGACAAACATCAAAAGAGACACCAAGAATTCTCAGTAAGAATTAAGTATATGGAAAATATTCATTTTGTTGTGTTCTGTACAGTAATTAACTCCTCATAGTCGTGTAAACATGTTCCTTAATTCAGTTTCCTAGTCTTCATCTTTTCAGTGCAAGATTAAAATAAAGCTCCGCGATGTCATATGCTTGTTTACTCACTTCAGGATGCAAACTTAGACGCTAAATTGCTAATATGTTATTATATACTCCATGAATGTTACATATCTTTATAATTGGTTGTTGTATGTTAATGTGATACTCTGCATTGGAATTCCAGGACATGGGCTTATATTAAAAAATGTAGACTGTGAAGGTGTTAGCTGCTGGGTGCGTAGTGATCCCTGGAGTTGCTATAGTGTGGTCAAGTCATACACATCTAAAATGAGGCATACACGTGAGCTCAGACATGGAATGTAGAGACAAACAAGCTACCCTTAAAAACAAAGCAAAGCAAACCAATTACAGCTTCTTAAGAGTAGAATTTTAATTTAATTTTCAAAATAAATAGCCCACGGCATAAACACTGAATTCATTCAGCCTTTGATCCTACTGCATCCACATGCTGGTCTTCCCACGTCAACCACGTCATTCTTGTTCAAAACCTTTACTAATACAAAGTAGTGGAGCTTCAACACACCCTTTGGTTTGATTGTACGGGCAGCACCACCCAGTAACCAGAAGGGGATAAAGCATTTACCATTTTTTCCAGGGTGTATCTGTCATTCAAGAAGGCCTAGAGAGATGAGAACTGGTAATGAGGATCAGGTTCTTTCCTTTTTTCAATTTGTAAGTCTCTTAAATCCAGACCACAATGAACTATTTATATATCAAAAATGTCCCCAAACATCATAAGACCTGCACAGAGTTGCTGCTCTAAAATGCATAATGAAGAGAAGCTTGCTTCTACTGCCATTTTGAAATGTTCTACCCCTGAGCTATACACTCCTCTACTGCCAAGGAAAGCATGGCAGTGCGTTGGAGGGGTATGCAGTGTAAATGCTGGGCTGAAACACTCTGCTACTTTAGATTACTGTCAGCATTCTCTGATAATGCATCATGTGTCTACACACAAACACACACACACACCCCCTCAGTGAAAAATGTGTGTGTATGTGTAGTCACCCACTGCCAATTAAAAGTTGTGTGAAAGCTATACAGGATTACAGAGGCATCTATGTTATTACTTTTTGCTATTTAATCAATTTTATAATGCCTGGTTATTGAGGGGAAAAATGGACATGGATAGAATGGTTTTGAAAAATCAAGGAACAAGTGTCCCCAAAATAGGACATTCTGGATATGTATGGTATGTTCTAAGGGAAAACTTTATACTCTTTCCTTCTGGAAGAGATACAAAGACTTCTGAAAGTAAAATTATTAAAAATAAATCTTGTAGGCACACCCCACCGCCCCCCCCCATGGTTTTTGCTCTCCAGGTGAAGAAGAATAATTAGGAGCAACATTCAAAGATTCAAGATAAGATTTGTCATTACAAGCTTGTCAGCATAACAGATTGTATAACTTGAGATGAATTTATGTTGTTCAAAAAGTTCAGAAAGATTGCAAGCCTGGTTTATAAATAAAGAAGTAGACTCACTGAAAAGCTGGTTCTTCTCTCATTGTTTTCAGCAAGAGGGCTACAATCGTATCTCCTAGGGAGGCTTTCACATCAGTCTTTTTGCACATCTTCTCTAAAGCAGAGTCAGAACGTGTGACCCAAGGCAGCTTTTCCCCACCTCTGCAAGGCTCAGCTCCCTTTGGGGCAGTGAGTCCTACACTTCCCTGAACTGAAAAATCACTTGGCTGTTTGGGAAATATTCAGGTTGCCAGGCCAAACCCCAGAACTCAGGTACAAAGCCAGGGTCAGGTATTTTTATAAAGAACCCAAGGGGACGCTCACAATCTGTGGAACATACCATTGCAGTGAACAGGGCATACAAGAGTGTATTTCCTCTTGCCCACTGCCTAATTAATGCTGTTTCTTCAAGCTACACACACAGAGATCACAGCCTCCCTCACCAACCCCCTCAAACCACTCTCTATTCCGGTCTGAATTTCAGGTCACCCTCCTCAGCGGAAAACTGCTGCCATTGCAAGGGCTCAGTGGAAGAAGGATGTGGGAAGGTCACATCTCTGTCCTCTCACTTCTCTTGATCCACACAACACCATTTTCACAAGACTATGTACATTTAATTGACGAGGTCAGAGGAATGAGGGTAAATGATGGAATTTGTAAAATGAGAGCAAACATTTTAGACTACAAACTAAATAAGACTATCCCCACAGTTCCAAAGAAACCAACAAACAGCACAGCTAGAGAATTATACATTTTCAAGGAGAAACATCATCTTCTAGACTTGCTGCCCTATCTAAGATCTGAGTTGCCCTGTCAGGCTACCACTCCCAAGAAGTGCCATTCAACCTTAGAAAGTCCTCTAGGATCCATGTCAACAGATACCACACACCAGATCCAAACCTCAGTGCTGCTGAAGTTATCCAAGATAGAATGTGCCAGGGTGTGTGCATGTGGAGGGAGGGGAGCATGGGTGAGTATTGGAGAGAAGACTGCAGCAGAAGAGCCCAAGGAAGCTCTGGACCTCCCACGACCAACTTCTCAGACTCTCTCCATCCATGAGAGTGACTGTTTGTCTCTCTTCTGTTTGTCTCTTTTCTGTTTATCTCTCTTCTGTTTATCCAGGGGGAGGCTCCTATAATCCCACATGTGGCTTTGTATGAGTGCACACACACATAAACACACAAACCCATAAGCATAGAGGTTCTTCCACACACATACACATCCTAAGAACAAACAACATTTCTCAGTATTCAAAGCAACACCTCAGTTTTCAAAGTCTATTTACCTCGATTTAACCCAGGCTTCAATAGCCAGCAAAGCACATTGGCTTCCCCTTAGTCATCTGTCTACTTCAAACATGAGTCTGAAGTCTACATTGCAAAAGAAGCCATTCCTATTAATACTCCTTTTTATTGCTACAGAGCCTACTGACCCTATAGCCCCACCTGACTATCCAGAGACCTTCAAGCCATGGCAAGTACTGATTGCTTTCCTTTAAGATCCATTCTGAGGTAGGGTTTGTGCCACACTGAACAATGTAAGGGGACACTGTTATCAGGGAGGTATTAAATAAATGAGCAAGCAGTCCCTTGTTACTAGAGATAGTAAATATAGAGTTTCTGTTCTCATGAGCTTTACAATCTAGTGAAGAAGATACTCACAAAGACAAATGAATGACAATATGTATAATTATAATTGCAAATTATTATTGAGAAGAGAATAAAAGGGTGAAATAGGCAACAAGAGAAACTTACTTAGGATAGGGAGTTGGCGAGGCCTTTTTGATGAGAACATACATAGTATTGAGCTGTGTTGGGAAGTCATCTCTCAAAGGCAATAGCATGTACTAAGACCCTATGGCAGGAAAGGTCACATTTAATGTGAAGACCAAAGTCACAGTGCTTAGGTATAAAGCATGAAGCTGGAGAAGTGGACTGGGGGAGATTATGTAGGACCCAGTAGGTTAAAGTAAGAGTTTGGGTTTTATTCTAAGTGCAGATGGCATCCATTGAAGGATTTTAAGCAGAAAAGTTAAATCACTGAATTTGTTTAAGAAGACTTATTCAAGCTGTCTTGTGGAAAATAGATGAGAGATGGACAAAAAGTCCTATTCAGAACCACACTGGGTGGGGAATGCGGGTGGATGGAAAGTTGTTCTGCTACAAATAACTGTTCATCCTCTAGCCATGGTAACGTTCTTAGCTTAGAATGAATGTTACCACACAACCACACAAGTCCCTTCCTCCTCCACTGTTTCCACCACCACACCTCACCTCCCTCCCTCCCTCCCTCCCTCCCTTTCTCTCTCTCCCCCCCTCTCTCCCTCTCTCCTTCTTTCTCTCACAGAGACACACCTTGAATTCCCCTCTCCTCCTTTCCTTGTCTATCCCATTTGATCCTTGTTTAAAGTCTTGCAATCATGTTTAGTCCATTTAACTCTTGCTGATACTTTAAACATAATCTGTCACTAATATTGCAAGAAAATTCTAATACTGTAGTAAAATTAAAGTATTTAAAATTTTGCTCCCTTTAAAATTTATTCTCAAAAAAAGTATTCTTTATACACTACATGACTTATTCTTCATGATTTTAGTCTCTTGTGAATAGTTGATATTTTTGGATAGTTCGTACAGTTTCTCTTCAGTTACTTGCCACCTGTTTAACTGACTCTACACACCATAAACAAGGGGTTTGAACTCAAACAGAGCTTTGTTTAAATTACTGAAGGCTAGATATTATTTCTATGACCTCTGGCAACCCCTTTGAGCCCCCAAATCTTATTAACAGAGAGAAAATAGCAATTTCTTTACAAGTTCTGAGGATTATATATGTGAACCGTCAATACCACATTGCTCAATGGGTGGTAATACATATGCAACTATCAAGTAAATATCATTTAGAACTTTTAGTTTCTGAAGGTTCAAATTTTCCCATTTTTTGGCTTTCATAACTTTAATTTTTCTTCCTTTTTCCACCCCTAACTTGTAATCTATCAGTTATGTGCCTTTACTAATCTACTATCATAGTCGTGCTTTCACTTAACCCCTATCTATGTCTCCTCCAGCCTCAGCAAGACCCCATAAGGGGGAGAGAAATCACT